CACCTGTAAATGGATATTTTCCTTATTATCATCACCGTTATTATTATTATTATTATTATTATTGTCATTATTATAATCGTTATTATTATTATAAGTAATATCATTTTAATGTTTACCGTTTTTGAGGGCATCTTATTTGTCCATACAAAGTATAGATGTTTAAGTGTCTTTGTGCATAAAAGATGGGCAAAATGATTAAATTTTAATGTTTGTGGCTTAACGGAGCTTAGTAACCTGCCGATGATTTTTGTTTTATTTGTCACACGTTGTTAAAATTACCCAATAGAGCTACGTATTTTTTGTTTTAGTATTAGAATTGTGAATAAGTAGTGATCACTCAATAAAGATGTCAAAGAATATTTGCACCTCACAGGTAAAAGCGTGGTGAGGGCTCTTATCATTATGAGGGGAAAGGTCTCTTATGAAGCACCAGCAGAAGAGCTTTTAATATTAAAGAAAAGTTGCTTTTACTGGACACTATTACAGGACAAAAGATGTTGACGTACCTGTTTGAATGCAAATCTTCACTCAGTACCTTTATGGGGAAAGCGGCTTCATACTTGTAGGAGTAAGGGCCATGGCCTTTTTGTACCAACTAGTATATAAGCAGATGGTACTCTCTCTTTAATGTTTTACTGGTCAGCTACGTCAAGTGCAAAATCTTGTAAGTTCTTAACCTTTATTAGGCTTGCACGCGATTGAAGCAATAAAATGCTTGCTAGTGTTAATTACTTAGATCTCACTTAATAAGATGTTAAATTATTTCACATAATTAACCCTGATATAAACCTTATGAGTCAATCTGTAGATTTTGCTTAAAGCTGCTTGAGAGTCGTACACCGTCTTAAAAAACTTTCTAGTAGCCACTGTCCATCAGCAATCCATGCTTGACAAGTGGTGTAGGTGCCTACGTTATAAGCCCCTTTGTGGAGTGCTTTAACGTGCTTCTAGTAAATGAAAAATTAAGCTAGACAACATTGTCCCTTAGGGAGTAGCAGGTATTTTTTGTCAAAGCTTAAGGCAGAGTAGTGCAGTTACCTGCGAACTTGAAGGATATTACTTGAGATAAGTAAATTGACAAACAGTAGTTGGTACACCACATTCAGGTGCCCTTTTTTTTTGTGAAATTTTATGCTCAAGAAACAAAAAAATTGCTGCTTGCCGATGCACATTCATGCGAGATATGCTTTGCGTGGCTCAAAGTAAAAGGATAGTTGTAACTTGCTGGCTAGGAACTGTATTTCGTTGTAATGAACGGTGGATCTCTAGATGCAGCTAAGGCCTGAAGCGATAAAGAAAAGCTAATGTTCAAGAATTTCGCCTGATTGCATGGAACATCTTGCTTAGTTCTACAACAAGTGTACGTTATAGATTCACATCTGATGAATCCCTATTAGAATAAGGCTACGATTAGTCAGAATAAAATGTTAACATACACCTTGAAATTGGCACAGGTGTGCAAAATAGCCACATTACAGACAATTTAATTAGAGCTTGGCCTAGGGGACGAAGACTTGGTACGCTCGCATACTTAGATCTGAGAATTGGCTGCAGTAGTCTATGTAGTCAGGTGCACGACAAGCAAGGCAATCGAATTTGGCTACGTGTGTAGCCAAAGCTCTGGTAACCAGTAGAAATAGGCTCAGGAGTGTGGGCTCCTGCTAAGTATGGAACTACAAAACCGCCCACTAAGTAGAGAGTGCGCGAAGCTTGAAAAGAGATCAAAAATCGCTCACGCCTCCGGAAAAAGCAAAATAGTAAGATAAATCTAGCCACTTTCTTAAGTTCTGAGAAAATTACTTCCAACTTCTCGATCTCATGTGCCCATGCTAAGCGAGTAGATGGGTCCATGGCAGTTAAAGTGAAGTAGACTAGCCACCCATCTCAGTGCTTAACAGGCTGATTCAGAACTTGTAGATGATTATGGTGCATCTCTTGTATGACGAGCAAGTTCTGTAGACCTGCAGGAGACTTTTCGTAAAATTGCTTTAGCACTTTAAGTGCCATGAAGTACTAGTGTACAAGAAGGCAGTCATAGTTGAACCAATAAAGTAAGAAAACTTCTGGCTGTCACGTAATTAGGCCTGAAAAGCTAAATGAATGTAAGAACTTTTTTTTGCCTCAGTGAGTGTGTTTGCTTTTAGATAATACAACCTTTTAACATCAGAAAGGAGGGCGTTTTGGTCTATGAGCGCCTAAAATAAATTATGAACTGGCAATCTTCCTGGTGCCTCGAAAGCTGCAGGATTTAAGTGCTTGGCAGATGAGAGCTATCCCAGAGTACACTTTAGAAAGTAGTGGTGATCCGCTTTTTACAAGGACAAATAAAGCCAATAGTTTTTTTGCGTCATAAAGATATACCTTATTTTCTATGCCGTATTTCTCACTAAACGTGTACATGCGTCAGAGGAAAAAGACTTCGTCTTCAGGAAATCTTTAGATCAGATCATAATAGTTAGCCTCAGAAATAGAGACTTATATTCTTATGATAAAAAAAACATTTTTAGTTTTCGTAAAATGGAATTCATTGTTAAACTAAACAGTACGCTTAAAACGGTGACTTGTTGTTAACTGCAGCAGGTTAGGTCTTGGAGAACAGAAACATTGTTACCACTATTGTAAGGATCATTATTTATTTAACTTATTTGTTTAGCACTAAATGTATAACAGAATTTAACATATTGATTGCTACTAAATTGTTTGCCCAACACGAACCTGGTCTGTTAAAAGTTTATCAATAGACTATCTTTCTAAGCAGCTAATGATTTAAGCTTAGCAAGGCATTTCGTAACTATTGTGATTGCTCTTACTATCATTTTTTTCATTATTATTTGGACTATTATTATAGTTTTATTAGTATAATAATCATTATTATTATTTTTCTTATTATTATTATTTAATCCATAGTTATTGTTATAATTATAGCTCTTACTGAACATTTGTGAGCTACCATTACAGTTCACTAAATCTGTGAATATAAGCTCAACTGTTGTACAAGACCGTTTACCAAATATGAACTTCTTATCAATACTTTAATTTATAATTTGTGAGCTTTATTGATAAGTATTACTTACACGAAAAAAAAAAAAAACTGTAAGACGTGAAGGCTAATAAAAATGATCAGAATTATTCAATTCCTCTCTCTTTTTCTGACACCCACAAGATTAACAAACCAAGAGAAAAACCCGAGAATCTGGGAGTAGCTTGTTTAGTGCATTTTAAGATCATTAAACTGCTAGCTGAGGTTCTTCCTTTTATACATATTTTGCAAATTTTACTATATCTCCATCTGTATTAAGTGATGCTAGGAACATCTAAGTTTCCACCAAAATAGGTTAGGAGTTAGCCTTACTTTCACCAACTCTACTTTTCTAGCCATTCTCCTTTATCTATTCACTATTATTCAGTCAAATCAATTACTACCACGTGAGTGAAGTAGGATGAAAGCTCAGAGCACTTTCATCCTCACCAACACATTCAAGTTGCTTTAATTTATTTGCTTCACCCACACTGGTTACGCACGTTTCTCATTTCACTCTGAATTCTCGTTCTTTTTTTTCCTTCAAAATAAGCTTCTTGGCTTGTCTCACCCACCTTTGGCATTGTTTGCATCCTGATGCCTGATTGACATTCGAGATTACCAATACATCGGCTTATTAACGCGCATTATTCAAAAGGAAGCGTTGAGGGAAAGATAGAAGATATCACCACTGATAAAATTCGATGGGCCTCATCCAGTCTGATACTTACCTCAGTGTAGAGTGGTCTTCAGATTGTTCATGAGAAATCCAGTACGTAGATTGTCTAGGTAATTTTTAATTTTGAAAGGTTTTTGTTGCGTCTTGATACGTTAACTTTTTTCTGCCAAAATTTATCTTTTCGTTTGTCTAAATCTTTAAATAAAAGTCGCGTGCCACGTTGACACTTACGTGCTGTGAGCACCCAGGTAAACATGTGCACTCGCGAGACTGTGGTACGAGGAAAAAAAGGGGAACGGTGCAAATGCACACTTATACTTACATGCTTACACACCTTCTCATCCACATCTGCACACCAAATTAAACATGATTGATATTCTTTGTTGTATTTCATTATGTATCAATATTTTTTTTCTCTTAAAGGGTTTCTTGCAGGAGCGTCCTTTTTTGGGCCAACGATTATATCTTAATCAGTGGCTATATAATAGGGCTTCTAATTTAATTTAAGCTCTAAACCATCAAGTCCTCTGTCAATTGACGTAAATACTGTCAAAATAAATAACTGTAGATTTATAGTAAAGTAGTTCAATATTTTAGCTGTTAGAGCCATGCCATTATATGTATAAACAGCTGGTTTTTTTTGCATCAGTGTCTTACTTCTCTAACGTTTATTTTGTTTTATCTTTGCGATTTTTCTATTCAGTATTTGAATATCAAATAAAATAGTATATGAAAATACTAGAAATTAATTTAATTTTATCGAACGGTAAGAATTAATGCAAGTTATTATACTGATTGACTCTTCCCGTCCAGTTCGAGATTGCCAAGGCATCTCAGATTGCCAGGATGGGAAAAGTCAATAAATCCAATTACTAGCAGTATTATAAAATAAAATCGCTTCCTAACTTTGATGCAGTCATTAGAGTGGCATAAAACTCCTGTGCCACATCATAGTCTCTGGCTTGATGTACTGACAAATATAAAATAAAAATCAAGTACACCGATATTTTCAAACCTTTTATTAAAACTTTTTAAATTGTATTCTCTAACACAATAAGACTTACTGTTTTCTTCTACCTGTTGCCAAGTTTCTGTTGTAAATTTCTGTTGTGTCCTAGAGATTAAACATGGAAACGTATTAAAACGTTCAAATTCGTAAAAAAATCTTAGCATAAACATTTTAAGGTTGTTTTAATTCACTATTAGTATTTTACAATAATTTACTTTTAGAATGTTAGAAACGCTTGGTAATATATTATTGCTGATCTTAGAATATTTTTAATACTCATATTTTCTTTACAGATAACCCTCTTGCTTGTAACTGTGACTTACAGTGGTTCTCAGCATGGTTGAATAAGCTTAAAGACAAAGATGATGAAATAATGTCCAAAAAAAGATCAGTGTGCACACTGATGTTGGAACATAGGGAGTATCCAATACAGAAACTACCATTACAAAACATGGGCTGTCCATCCAGTTACAATGTTGAGAGAGTATGGTCAACAGCTCATACAAGAATATCATCTCAATGCCTTATACTGTTCATAATTTATTTAACTACTTGTGTATAATAAGATTGTGTCAGTTGTCCAATGAAAATGTTGCGAGTTTTCTACTAAGAATACTGTAAGATCAACTATTTGTGTGTATAATTTTGAGGTTAATGTGTTTGAAATCCATTGTTAATGTATTTTTTAACATTTACTATAAATGAAGTTCTCAAGTAAAAATTCATTTAACTTGCGTAACGTTGGAAGAGCTAGTTAATCAGTCTCACCAGTGCCAGTCAAATCGACTTGGGTTGTCCACATCTTACTTTTGATGAAATTTAAAAACTGTACACATTATTTCGTCTTTTATTTCTGGGTTAATTTAAAATGCAATAAATACAACAATTTTATAGGTGTATTTTTAAAGTGTTCAAAACAAATTGTTGACTAGATTAAAGGGAAAAAATATATAGGTTCAATTATAAATAAATATAAAGTTTACTTTGATATTGCACTGCGTAGTCTTTTTTATGTTGATAAGATGTCATTTATTGCGTTTTAAGTTTACATTAAAAAAAAAAGGAAATCTATACTTCACAAATAGACAAATAAAACTGTAATCTATATTATTGACTCATAAAAAAAATCGTGATTATTTACTCAAAAAAACGGGACTTCAAGCAAAAAACAAAAGCTGATGAAACGATAAAAGTTAGGGTACTGATCTTTTAGATACTAGTGACACCGTCATTGGTGCTCGTGGCCACATGGGTCTTGAAATTAAAGCAAAAGATAGTTTAAGCTGGCAAGAAGTGTAATAGTTGTTAAGAAGTAGTGCCTTTTAGGATTGACGGCCTTAAACGTGGCAGACAAGTTTAAAAAAATTTAAACACAATCAAGCAGATCATACTTATGGCTATTTGCGTAGTTTTGTAGGAAACTCTATTGAGATTAAGAACTTTCTCAAAACCAGAGAAGGATCTAGGAGTAGTGTGCAGAAAGTAAACGAAGCTGGTCGTCAGCATAACTGACATTTAATTCCATATTTCTTTGACAGTGAAGTCAGATAATGTAAAAAAAGAGAGAGTCGTAGGAAAAAAAGAGTTTAGCAAGTATTAACATAAGCTTGTGAGGACTCAGCAATCTACAAATCAGAGGATCTAAGGAGGTCTTTAATAGAGCCATTATTCTAACATAGTGGAAACCGTTTTAGTGCATGCATTGACTGGTTATCAGCTAATAAACTGCTGGTACTACTACCAGAAATAAAATACAAACTCCTAATCAGCTGCAGAGATTAAAAAAAAGTTGATAAAATAACTTATAACTAAAACAAAAGTCACTTGGAACATCACAAATCCCATTGCTTTCAATACACTTGAATAAATAATTTGAAGCACTGGCAGAGTTGCTAGAGTCAAAGAAGAAATATCTTTTAGTTTAAGTGTTTACGATAATTTACTACTTCTTTCTCAATTTACAATGGTCCGCGGCCATATACTCGAGTTTACTTCCTTACTTACACTAAGCACCCTTGTGTTCATTTAGATACTTTGCCTTAGCTTGCTTCGAAAACTTTAGTTGACTTATCCACTTTATTTGTTACTCACATACTAAGTTATCTTATCTCCTAGCTTGGAGTTGTCAATTAATTTAAGTTAGTCTTAATGTATAGCATGGGGTAACTGCATTAATCCTACAGAAAAGTATTCTAAGAAGGCGATGCTGCTTATGCCAGTTAAAATGCCTGTTCAAGGATAGATGATAGTCAGTCTTCTTTGCAGTGGTAAGCTTATATTCTGTAACGTGTGGTTTCGTGAAGGTCTGGCCTATTAAGACAAATAGACATCCTGTGTTGTGCAAGCCATCATAAAGTAGGGACTGTATTTTGTTTAGTTATAAGCCAGATCAAGTTTGTTCTGTACCCCTAAAAAGTGTGTAGCAGTATACAGTGACTATTAAATGAATTGCATGAGGCTTACAACCTACGTTGTCTTGTTTTAAGTAATTATCTTAGAGGTTAACAACCTAAGTATGATCTTTTTACGTAAATATACCAACAAACTGACAATCTTTCTGGGATAAAGGTCGTATAAACTTACTGAAGTCAGGCTAAAAACACTCGGGTAGCAGTATTGCGATGGTTTGTAATTAGTTAGGTACTTTTAGCTATTTTTCTATGGTCAAGTCTTCAAACTAGTTAAACCATATACAAAAAAACAAATTTTTATGTTAAGAGGAGAATATTGCTCTTGTGTGCAATTGAGAATTCTCTTATCATTGCACATACAAGTTATAAAAAAGATTTATAGGTTTGATTCAAAAAGTTGTATTTTTTTAGATTTTATATTGGGCCATTGTCACTTATAAACACTTGAAAAGCAATTTACAGCTTAGATAAAGACTTGAACTCCATTACAAAAATGAAAAACGCTTTTTGTTAACATCTTTCTCTAATCATAACTAAGTACATTTAAAAGCTGAAGTCTTAGTTGCTAATTCCTCTGAGACTCGTGCCAAATTGATACAAGCTTTTTTAATACAAGCACGTTTAGAGACTTGCTGGAAAATTGCATATGATATTTTTTTTTGGTTAAATTAATGCTCTTGTAATTAATTTTAATACACGTTAGGATTTCTGCTCCATTTTAACCGCATAACCGATGTGCAACTTTTGTGTAACACACCAAAAAAGACCTCCCACATGCAGTATCATCTGGATGTGATAGACGCAACCAGTTTTGTAGTGTTCCTTTATCACAAACCAAGTTACACTACTGTATATGTGCTGTAATCTTGTCTTGATCTAAAAAATTGAGAGAAGTTCAAAGTTGGTCATTGGTGCTTCCTTGACAAGGACAGATTATCTTTGATTACCAAACTTTAAAACCATCTTCTGTTATAGCTGACGGGATATACTGATGATATTAATTGCCATCGTCCTTTTTAAGCATATGTACTAATCCTCTTAAAACTTAAGTCTTGTTTCGCAGTAGGTTCAAGGATCGAACAATCTGGATTAGACAATCCTAATAGAAGAGGTAGTCTTGCTTAAAGTTATACAATTGTGTAAACAAAAGTTATTTATTTCGTAGAAATGTAACAACACGTTCTTTCTCACCTTGGCCCTTGAAGTAAGACTCATAAATGTCATTTATATAGCCAGGCTTTCTAATTCTTTTTTATATAAGTCACTGATTTTATTTACAGGATAAATACTCTAACAGTATTTAAACTAACAAGGTTAACTAAATAATTATATCACTACTGTTTAAGTTTTTCACGTATCTGCAATGTTGTAGGCTTCAAACTAGAATTCAAACTGTAGAAAAAAGCCTCTTAATCTTTCATAAGTAACTCTTGTAAGTAGTCATAAGTAGCTCTTGTAGTAATTTTAGTACTTCCAGCAGAATTTGACTACCACTGACTCTATGATTCTGTATGCAATAATGCTGATCTCATGCTCACTGTCTTGTAATTAGAACTAAAGGCAAATGTATAAGTTTTGCTCACAGCTTCTTAAGGCTTTTAATTTCAGTGATAAGCAGTTAACTCTATTTTTCTTATTTTTTTGTCAAGCGCCATTAGTTAATTCTCCCCGCAAACAAGTTGTTTTAATTTGTTACAAGTAACGTTATTATCAGGTTATGGTGCTGGTGTACTCAGTGGCTTCTGAGATCCTCCCAGTAGCAAGAGAGATTTCATTTAAGATGTTTCTATGGCAAGCGCCAAATGCCGAAAAGACGGATATAAAACTCGGTGGCTTGAAACTTAAAAAGAGGAATGAGAAATTTGTTGAGACGTTATTAAATGTATGAAGTCAGCTTTCAAGACTTGAAAAAATTAAGGCAACTGTATCTATAAGCGTAGCCATAGTCAGGCAGGAAGCTTTGCTTACATACTTGCTGTAAGTAATCATTGTTGAGTCAGTAATGTATATTAGATTTCAAGTAAATTACAAGTATAACAGCTGCTACTGTCCAAATTGAAAGAGATGGCAGTAGGCAATAATATATGTCTATGTAATTTATTGCGAGAGGGCCCTCTTTATCACATATTAAATTATAATGTACACTTCTTATTTCTATTAAGATCCGTTAATTTTTTATAAATTTTTCTTCGAATAATCTTTAAAAATACATCAAATGCACTAAGTTTAAATTATAAGACTCAGAGTGGAGCATATTATATGCACTGTCAATTACGCACAAAAAGCTTGGTAAGATATGCGGAAGAATTATCGTGTGAATATGTATAACCAATAGTGCGCAGAGCGATAGTGCAGATAACAGTAGCAAATTACTTACAAGTTGGCTGTGAGAAGCGCTAACGCACAAGAAAATATGTCCCTCCTCCAGCAAACCTAATACGCAGAAATTCACTGCCTATCAAAACCTAGAACTCTTCCGTGCACCGGTAGGGCACCTTTCTATCTGCGACGAGTACGAGTCGAGAAAAAAAGCAACCAAGTAGCAGAGATACTGCCGATAGTGATGTTGCTTCTTGGGTGAAGTATATGTGCAGATTAGTAGAGCTGTGCTCAAGATACTCAAGATCCCCGAAGACGACTTAACCCCACGTAGCTTTTTCAGGAGAGGCATAGAGCCCAGTACAAATACCGTGGCTTTACAATTGATCCACCCTAGCCAAACCGAGTGTATGTAAAATACAATTTGTGCCGGAGAATTTAAAATCCTTTTAAATAAAGCTCAGCAAAAGTTAAAGTTAAGAATACTATTTCACTTTGTATTCATCGTGAAACTCAACACTTTTCAAAGTGATTCCAATTCGTTGAGACAACATAAAAAAATTATGGTTGTTAATACTATAGTTGCGCTAGTTATTTCAATTCTTATAAAATAAAAGCATAGTGATTTCCTTGAAAACATAATTTTCTTGAAAAAATAAGAAAATGAAAGTAAACAAGTTGAAAAAAAGAAATTAACTGTACTTATTCATTAAAACATACTCTTACAGAGGTAATTGCAAGTCTTAATATTCATTTAAAGGTAATTTCAGAATAAAGTAATTAGTTAAATTTGTTATTAAGTTTTTAATCAAATGAATCAAAAGTATCCACTGTTTTATCTCTGGCCAAGTTAACGAGAAGGTAAGAAATGTATTTCTATGTGATAAAAGTAAATTTTAACGTATGAAAATTTTATCTTCGCCCAAAGAAATGTAAATTAATTTGCGTAAAATGAAAATAGTTACTAAAGAAAATATTCATAAAGCAATAATCAAAGATAATTGCTGCTTCTATTGCAGGAACTAATGTATGATTTAACACTTAATTTTTATAAAAGCTTCTCAAAGATATTGTTCTTCATGTAATCAGCAACCCGAGGGACTTAACTCTTCAACACAAGGTAACGAACCCACCCACCAACATATACTTACTAATATTAATTGTGTGTTGGTTCCTAATCTTAAAGTTTCTCTGGTACAAATACAATTCTCACCCGATTTTTTTACTACCAACAACTCATCAGGGTTATATTTCACGA